ATCTCTAGAATTAAAATCCCCCACAGAAAGTAGTGAAATTCAAAAAAAATTTTTAGTATTTATTGATAAATGTTTAGACTACCTTAATAAACGGTTTGATTATAGTGAAAACAATTGGTTATGCAAAATTCAAAAGTTTAATTTGAAACAAGAAATTTCATGTAATGATTGTGAGATAATATTAGGAGTTCTAAATTTAATACAAAAATTGAGTATAGAAATGGATGATCTGTACACTGAAATAACAACATTGAATGAAATTTTAGCAAAAGTAAAAAATTGTATTGAGTTCACTGAAAAAACTACAGGGCAAAAGTGGCAACAAATTTTTAAAAATACTGAAAATAACTTACACAATTTACTTAAAGTAGTGTAATTCCTGCTCTCTATTCCTGCCACTTCGGCATTTACAGAAAGGATATTTTCTGTTATGAATTTGAAATGGCGGGAAGAAAGAAACAGGTGTAGTTTATCATTAATAAAAAATTAACTTTTGATTTACATTAATTTAAACATTGATTGTAAGAAAGCACATGACACTTTTATCTTAGACAAAAAATTGTTAAACTGTGCAAGAAGTGCAAAGAAATATAACTTTTATAAAAAAATAAATAAATAAAAAAAAATTGTCTTTTTTTTATAAAATACTATATTTTTTAGATGTGTACTATATATTTTGAAGCAATTTTAAAAAAATACTATATTTCACCAAGGATATGTTGGCAACCCTATTGGCGACTGGCCGTTCAAATATAGGTTAAGTTCTTTTTAGAAGTGTAAAATGTCAAAATTATTTATGAGTTTACTCTTGTATTTTAATTAATCATTGTTCGTTGATGTCAGCAAGGGATTTTTATTTGCTATTTCTAAATTCTAAAATTAAAGTCTTTAATACTAGTGATATTAGCCGTTTAAGACAAACACGAGTTCATCACAGATATATTGGACCTGGATGGGAATCTTACCCAAAACCTCTGGCCATCATGCCATCGGGACTGTTTAAAAGATAATTAGTGAAAATGAAATGAAATAAAATGTACTTATTGATTTCTTAGTATGGTGTTGATGAATCACTGTCATTTGTTAGTGAGCATTGTAAGAGTTTAAATTTTATGACATATACCTATTAACGTAATTTTACTAGTTTCGTATTATAGACTTTTTTTATTTACTTAATTGATATCAATTATATTACCTCATTACAGAATTTCGCAAATTGTAATGACTTCGACATAGGTTACTCACGCCCTTTCTCGTCGAAAATGGCGCTAGAATGCATCTTAAGCATAAGGTGCAATTTGCCCACTTCAGTTCAGTGTTGCCACCTTGGTGGTTTTCCCACCAGATCTGGTGCTTTTTTAAGGTTTTCGGTGGCATTGTTTCATCATTTAGCGTTATTTACTTTTTTAGTGGTTTTTCACGGTTTTTCAATATAATATCTGACAACATATTTTCTAGAGGGAAATTCCCTACTGTTTCAGAATTTCCTAATGCTCTAAGTCTATGACCGGGAAACCCGTAGGCGCATTATTTGGAAAGTTTTTTTTTGGGAGTTGTATTGTATGTGTCGGTCTATGTCCGGAACATTGTTCGTGTTGTTAAAAAGTTTTAAAGTTTGATAAATCCTAATGTGTAACAGAATGTGAAGCTGTAAATACAATCCAATAATTGAAGTTCCATTGAAGAAAAAAAAATACACAACAAAAGTATAGAAAAGAGTGGGAATCATCAGATGAATTCAAGACTTTACCTAGTGATAAATAATACGAAAGCGTTTTGCTCATTTTGTAAAGCAGAATTATTAGCAAAATTAGTAGACATAAGGAGACATGCTGAAACAAAAAAAAAACACAAACACAAATGAAAATTATATCCGCCAATAAATCGATTCAATTCGCGCCTGGTGAAAAGTTTACAAACCCAAAATCTCGCAAAGCTGAAGGAATGCTCGCTCTATACACTACAGAACACAGTTCAGTTTTCAGTTTCTTTTTTCATCTAATAGATTTAGTAACATTGACGTTCTCTGATTCCAAAGCAACGGGCGACCTAAAAATGCATCGGACCACGTGTACTAAAGTTATTAAGAATGTTTTGGCGCCACATTTCGGCTAAGAACTAATAAAGAATAGGTATAGGAGGAAAGAAATACAGTTTTATCATTGACGAATCAACCGACATCAGTACGAGCAAGCAACTAGGTAAGCAACTAGGTGTAATCAAGCATTTCAGTCGAAAACTTAAAAAAAAGAGTTTCTTGCACTAGATACAACTTTTTTAGCTCTATTTTATACGAAATTGTTAGTTTTTAGTTAATGCAATTATATCTAATACACAAATAACACAAATATGCAATGTTTCTTTTACTCTGTGATAATGTATTAATTAAGCGGTATTTGGTGGTTTTATTTTTACCAAAATTTATGAAATCTGGCGCTATTTTACTTTCGATCTAGCGCTTTAAAAAAATCCAAGGTGGCAACACTGCTTCAGTTACGCTCAGGCACTCGAGTGGCATTCAAGCAGAAGTGTTCCGTAGACAAGTGTGAAAATAATATACTTTCGGTATTAATAAGACCCATGATGACATCATCATATTTTCAGTAAGTGATTACTTAATATACATTCATAGTGCAATATCAATGTCAAAATAATAGTAATAGCGAGTGTTTATATTGGTACCAATTCTGTTATAAACAAATCTGTGGTTGTCTTTGGGCAAAAAGTTCCTCCTCCCGTCTTGTTTCATTTGCTTATCTATCAACTATCTCATTGCCACCTATACCGCAATCACTTGGGATCAACAAAACACTTATAAAGTAATTTTCTTATTTCAGAAATAACACGATAATATGTTTTCATTCGAAAGGAAAATTTACCAACAGCCTGACGAGTGCTCATTGAGTCACAGAATACAATTGTTTTCTTAAGCTTGATAATAATATCATATTCCAAAACAAGGCCTTTAAAAGTCCATAACATTCACCCGTGAAAACTGAGGATTCGGGTGGAAGTTTAATTTTTTGAACAATATTGTATTGTGAGTGAGAAAACACCTGTGCCTATATTGCCCGATTTATTGTTTTTTGATTCAAGATAAAAATATGATGATGATCAAAAAATTCACAGATTATGGTATATTTAAAATAAAAGTTGACTGTAGGATCTTTATTTACTCTATCAGTCCCGGTGGTTAGTGACAGTACAACGCATTTAACGCTTTCAAACGAATCTTTACGCTACTTATGCCCGGTTTCTGAGGTACTTTTAACGGCAATTTATCGATTCGATGGCGCTTTTATCGGTTTCATAACTTTATTTGACGTTTTGAACATGATCATTTCATGCAATTTTTAAGTTGTTATTATAACGTGGTGAATTTTAACGATGCGTTATAGCTAAATTTAACTCGAAAAACAATGAATGGTGGTATAGTTAATACAAGCAGTTCGTCAGAGTCGGATACAGAAGTAATAAAGTATATTTCTAGTAATACCTAGAAACTTTAGGCAAAGGAGAAACCCTTTTGAAATGTTTAGTGATGAAGAGTTCACGTTAAAATATCGCTTTAACAGGAGGACTGAGATGCATGTCAGTGAAATCATTAGCCCTACTCTAGTGCCTATTTCGCATCGCAAATACACATTGTCTGTTTTGAAACAAATCTTTATCGCATTACGATCTTATGCCACAGGTACGTTCCATATTGTAAGTTGTGATGACATAAACAGTTTCCTAAATGTTATTGGTTGTGTGGATCACACATACATACCTATTCAGTCTCCTGGAGATGAATAAGCAGAATTGTTTAGAAACAGAAATGTTTTTATTTTCCTATTAATGTACAAGTCGTTTATGATGCAAAATTATATATTCGTGACATTGATGCTCGACAGCATGGATCACTGTGACAGCACTGTATATCACAACTCATTTCTGCGAGCGCGCTTGGATAGTAATGAGATAGATGGTCACCTGCTGGGAGATAACGCTTATCCTTGTGGGAAGTATATGATGACTACATTTTGAAATCCAGTCACTAATGCAGAAAAGCTCTACAATGAAGCATAAATTAAAACCCGAAATACGGTTGAAAGAACATTTGGTGTGTGGAAAAGAATATTCCCATTTCTTTTACAGAAATTAAAGTTCAAATTAGATAAGTATAATAGTTGCAACAGCTGTGTTACATAATATAGCTCTTCAACAAAATTATTCAATAAATATTGAATCGCATTCTGAATCTGAAGCTGATGAAGAGATTCTACAAACGATGCATTTACCTACTACCTCTGCTGGTAACAACTATCGTGTAACGTGGTAAATTTTGTGGCCTTTAATAAGTTTTCTCTGGCAACCCTAAAAAAATTGGGAGTTTGGAATGCACGTAGTGACCAGTGTTGCCAACTTAGTGGATTTTCCACTAAATCTGGTGGTTTAAACATGGGAATCAGTGGGTAAAAATTGATTTTAGTGGCTAGTGGATTTTTTAGTGTTTTTATTCCGCTTTAGTTAGTGGTTTGATGGAACAAATCCACTAAATATTTTTATCATCCTGTAAGAGTGAAATTGTTTTCTCCCAATACAATGAAACATGTCATTGTCTGGGCAACACTAGACTAGGGTATTCCTCAAACCATATTATAATTCATATGAAGCCCGGCCGCCTGCACAACGCCGTTGAAGAATGGGATAGAAACATTAGTAAGCTTCATACTAATTGTTTCTGTCTCATTCTGTGATAGCCATACGTAGTGTTTGTTTTAGTAATTAAAGATCGAGGTATCGATTCTTGAGTAATTTCGTCTACGAAAAATTGTGAGTATTGTACTTATTCCATACAGATAAACCGTCACCGGTCCACGCTAAGAATTTTCGTAGACTAATCCAGTCAGGAATCGATGTTCAAGTTTGGTTATCGTCAATGTGTTTTTCGTTTGTGTTTTAATAATATTTATAACTTTTTGTGCTTTGTTTCTAACTTTTAATATAAATTAAATATGCCGAAACCACAATACATTCAAAAATTCCGAGACAGCTGGTTACGTGACCCAGATTTAAAGGATTGGTTGCAAGTAATAGAAAGCACTGGTGGACAAACAGCTAAATGCAAGTTTTGTGGGACATTATTGAGAAATCATTATGGAGATTTGAAAAATCATGGATTATCAAAAAAACACCAGCAAAATTCAAAGGTATGTATTTAAATATTTTTTTATTAATGCTTGAAGTAGGTCTATCTTTCAGACGTGTGACCTGTATCTACACATGCATGTCAAGCGTAATTTTGTTTTGGAGGGCAAGTAAGATCGTAGATCTCAGAGGTGTCCTGTGTAGACTAGTATTAGTTATTTACTTACTCGTCGAAAAAACTCGTGCGATGTAGCAGTGGGATATAATGATGTGGGTTGCAACAACGTATTCTAATTAGAGAGATGGTCGCTGTTACAAATACCTACCAAAAGACGCTGTTAACTTGGACTGTCAATAAATACCTACGTACTTACTTACTCTAACAACTAAAAGATTAATTAAAGATACTGTTTCTTTTGCAGATTGTTACTACGCAACCAAAGTTGCCTTTCAAACCAGAGAGCATGGGAAAGAAGAAGGAAGAAGGTAGGATCGCATTGTTTTTAGCAGCACACACCAGCATTCGTGCAGTAGACCATATGGGTGAAGTAATAAATCACTCGCACAAGGAGGATGACAAAATTAACCTGCACAGGACAAAATGTTCCCAGATAATTAAAAATGTTCTAGAACCGCATTTTTCAGAAAATCTAAAAAATGATTTAAATGATCAACCTTATAGCTTATTAATCGACGAATCAACCGATATTGCGGTAAAAAATATTTAGGAATAGTCATCATATATTACAGCTGCACTCTGAAAAAAAACATATCTACGTATTTAGATATGCCAATGCTGCACGAGTGTGATGCCAATGGAATCATTGCTGCTATAAAAACAACACTAACTAAATTCAGTATACCATTGCAAAATTTAGTAGGCATTGGCACTGACAATGCTTCAGTCATGACTGGAGTCAATAACGGCGTTCATGCCAAATTGAAAGAGGAACTGCCAAATTTAGTTTTAGTGCGCTGCGTTTGTCATTCTCTACAGCTAGCAGTTTCAGCAGCTACAAAACAGTTCTTACCAAGGAATCTCGAATTCCTTATCAAAGAAACATACGATTGGTTCAGTCGTTCTTCGGCAAGGCAAATTGCTTACAAAGAACTATACAATGTTATTAACGATGGTCATGACCCTCTTAAAATTGTACAAGCTTGCCAAACTAGGTGGTTGTCAATAGAGTCTGCAGTTGCCCGCATATACGCACAATGGCTAGAACTAAAAACACACTTTAATTTGTGCAAGCTAAAGGAACGCTGTTACACAGCAGAAATATTACATGGGATGTACACAGATGACATAAATTATTTGTACATTTCTTTTTTGTATCCGGTCCTTACAGACATAAACAGAGTTAATAAACTATTTGAGTCTAAGACAGCGGATCATGTAAAGCTTTATAACGAGCTGACAAATTTAATCGATGGACTTGTCAGCAAGATTATTTTGCCTACCCAAAAGGTAGATATTTTGACGCAGAACGTCCAAGACTTTGTTGATAAAAAATGTTACTTGGGTTATAGGTTTGAAACCTATTTGTCTACCATGAGAAGCGAGGGAAGAGGCCTTTTGCCAAACATTGAAGAAATGGTTCGTGATCGGTGCATCCAGTTCATTGTGAATTTAATTCAAGAGCTAAAAAATAGATTGCCTGAAAACCTAAAATTAATGAAAAATATTTAAAAAATCAGTGTTGAACACGCGCTCAGTCATAACAAAGAACCAATTGCTCAGCTTATGTTACATTTCGCCAAAAAGCCAGAAGAAATTGCGAAAGTTGATGAGCAGTGGCGACAAATTCATTTACTAACTTGGGAAAACACAAAAAATACTAAAGAATTTTGGTATGAAGTGATGGAATCCAAAGATATGGCTGGAGAAAACCGCTTCAAAGACTTGGCAACGTTTGCACTGAATTTACTAGTTTTGCCACATTCAAACGCCGATGTTGAGAGACTCTTCAGCACGATGAATGTTGTGAAGACTAAGCAAAGAAACAGAATGAAGCTAGAGCTTCTTTCATCGATTATGACAGTTCGAGCTGGTTTGTCACGGGAGGGCAAATGCTGTAATAATTACATTATACCACATAGCGTAATACAAAAAATTGGGACTAAGGAGATATATTCGTCACAAATAGAAAATACAGATGAAGCTGATTCTTCCGAAGACGAACTTCTTTAATTAGCTTTAACAGACCAACTGTAACAGCTAACTAAAGAAGTTCGAATAGAATCTATATTTTCAATTTGTGACAACCATTTGTCTTTTTTTAATTTGGTCTGCTATAATCTTAGGTTTAAAATTAGTATATAACATATTATAGATTATATTGTATGAATACTTTTACGATAAAATAAAGTTGATTAATTTTCAAAAAACGTGTTCTGTATTTTTACTTAATAACGGTTCATTTTATAATTTACAAGCGGTCGTCCTGCGGCTCCACTCGCGTAGTAAAGGCTTTTGGGTTCCCATGGATTAAATAGTATTCTGTGTAAACCTACTCTTAAGCTATACCTATGCCAAATTTTAGCCCGATCGGTTAAGTACTTGCCTTGTTATGAGGACACAAACAAACAGACTGACATACTCTCTTTCGCATTTATAATATTGATGGGAAAATGGATGACTTTTTTATTTTAGTGGTTTTCTGGTGGATCACGGGGCAATATTAAATTTAGTGGTTTTCTGGTGATACTAGTGGCTACATTTAGTGGGTTAGTAAAAATAAAGTTGGCAACAGTGGTAGTGACAACCCATTTGACAGACGTCATTTTAATTTTATTTCGCTGGTCGCCTTTTGCAGGAAATCAATCCTTTAATATCTACTTAATTTGGTGAGTTTTATGTAATAATCCTTCGTTTTTACGTTTTTTCCGAGATTGTTTCGGATCGTTCATGACTCGTTTTCTTTCAGATTCCACCCAGTTCACATGAACGTATGAGTTATTTTGTCGTGGCGACGACCGGCAACCTTACATGTGTTGTTAAAATTGTTGTGATTTCCATGCCTGGAGTTGATATTTGACAATAAAAGCTTGGCAGGCCTATTTTCCTCCGACAGGTAAGCCAAGGTAGCCCGAAACCAATAGGGTTCCGCACATGTGTTTGCTTAAGGAATTGGTGTTGATGTGTAACTATGTAACTCCGTTACAGGAGGCGTATATTGGAGTTGTATTTTGATGGAGAATAGTACTACGTGATACACGTGGTAACATAAAAAGAAGGTGTGGTGAGTACGGGATAAGCTCGGTGAAATCCTGAACTCCACCCTCGATAAAGCAGTGAAGGATCCAAGTAATATAATTTCCTAATACTTTAATTATTAAAGGTTTGTACCTTTGTTATCAACCAAGCACACCGACCTTGAACCCTGTAAAGCTAGTACCTAAGCTATTGTCCGTTAAGGAATAGTGGAATAGTTGTCTTAAACAGTTTAGATTTAACAATTTTATGAAAACAGCATCAATAAACCACATAAAGTGTCTGAACTAGACTTAAATCTTTTATTCACTGAAACCCTACTTTATCTAACATAATTGCTAAAAAAAATATACTACAATCGTCAGTTCTTGTTGGAACAATATTTTAGGTAGGTATTTTCATCAGAAAACAAATAAAAGACAATAACTGGAATATATATGCATATTATAAATTAAAATTTTACATTTTAAATTCTAATTCTATTGGTGCAATGATGCTGGTGATATTAGGCGTTTAAGACAAACACGAGTTCATCACAGATATACTGGACCTGGATGGGAATCTTACCCAAAACCTCTGGCCATCATGCCATCGGGACTGTTTAATAGTTAATTAGTGAAAATGAAATGAAAGAAAATGTACTTATTGATTTCTTAGTATGGTGTTGATGAATCAAAGTCATTAGTTAGTGAGCATTGTAAGAGTTTAAATTTTATGACATATACCTATTAACGTAATTTTAATAGTTTCGTATTATAGACTTTTTTATTTACTTAATTAATATCAATTATATTACCTCATTACAGAATTTCGCAAATCTTAATGACTTCGTCATAGGTTACTCACGCCCTTTCTCGTCGAAAATGGCGCTAGAATCCATCTTAAGCATAAGGTGCAATTTGCCCACTTCAGTTACGTTCAGGCACTCGAGTGGCATTCATGCAGAAGTGCTCCGTAGACAAGTGTGAAAATAATATACTTTCGGTATTAATAAGACCCATGATGACATCATCATATTTTCAGTAAGTGATTACTTAATATACATTCATAGTGCAATATCAATGTCAAAATAATAGTAATAGCGAGTGTTTATATTGGTACCAATTCTGTTATAAACAAATCTGTGGTTGTCTTTGGGCAAAAAGTTCCTCCTCCCGTCTTGTTTCATTTGCTAATCTATTAATTATCTCATTGTCACCTATACCGAAATCACTTGGGATCAACAAAACACTTATAAAGTAATTTTCTTATTTCAAAAATAACACGATAATATGTTTTCATTCGAAAGGAAAATTTACCAACAGCCTGACGAGTGCTCATTGAGTCACAGAATACAATTGTTTTCTTAAGCTTGATAATAATATCATATTCCAGGGCCTTTAAAAGTCCATAACATTCACCTGTGCCTATATTGCCAGATTTATTATTTTTTGATTCAAGATAAAAATATTATGATAATCAAAAAATTCACAGTTTATGGTATATTTAAAATAAAAGTTGACTGTAGGATCTTTATTTACTCTATCAGTCCCGGTGGTTAGTGACAGTACAACGCATTTAAAGCTTTCAAACAAATCTTTACGCTACTCATGCCTGGTTTCTGAGGTACTTTTAACGGTAGTTTATCGATTCGATGGTGCTATCCGTTCAATAACTCTTATGCCCGTTTTCACCAACCATACCTAAATCGTTCCCTAACTAAGTAACTCTTAACGTATGTAGCCCCTAAATGCAACCCCTAACCTAATTTCGTTTTCACCAAGCTAAGTGACACTTTACTAAGAGTCCCTTCAATTTTAGTGCTCGCCTTAACCGTATTCTTATCGATATTTTTACGATTACTCTTTTTATTAGTATTTTATGATTTTAACTAATTATAAATGATTAAATAATTATAAAAACAATGAATGGGATTAATAAGACATTCCAAAAAAATATTTTTAATAAAATTAAGTACTTTGGCTGCATATTTTGTGTTCTTGTTCAAAAAAAAGTTTGGTTATAACTGTCAAAGTCGAAGTTATCATAAATAAATAAATTATAAAATTATAATAAATTTTTAAACACCACGGTGAACTGTTGTTTGTCGACGAAACTTCGCTCTATCGTATACATGCCTTACGTTACCTATTGTTGATAGGCGACGCCTTCGCTTTTAAAGTTTTCTTTACAAATTTTGTTATTACCACATTACGCAATGGCTGAGAAAAGGAAACGTAGTCAAAATTTCACTCCAGAAGAGAAAGATAAGCTGGTAAAATTGCTTATAGATTATAAAAATACCATTTTAAATAATAAAACAGATGGGTGTACAAATGAGGCTAAATTAGCGGCTTGGAGTCAACTGACCGCTTCATTTAATGCTACTGCAACTATTCACAGGTAAATATCTTATAACATTATTATTACCCAAATACAGTATGGTTTAACAAAAAGCAGTAATATTTGTATATAAGCTCTAAACCAATAGGACGTAAGTAGTATTTTTATTTATGATTAATTATTAATAGAATTCTCATTACTTAAAACACTCTTATCTTCTAGAACTAAAGAATCACTAATGAAAGTTTGGGAGAAACCAAAATCGGATAGCAAACTGTATTATAGTTCCACTAGGAGAAACATATCCCAAACAGGCGGTGGTCCATTAAAGACAGATCCAATACTGGAACAGGTCTGTACTATAATGGGCCGTGGATGTTCTCGACTTGAGGGTATCAGTGATAGTGATGCCCTAACTAGTGTAGAAATTCCGATCTGCACAGAAGAGAGCTTGCCAAAAGTTCTATTTATTAACACTGGAGAAGACATGGAGATAGATACTGCTACGGAGACAGAGATATCACCAATACCTAATGTACGATAAATATAATAATATAAGCTAACTGATAAACATTTGTAATAAAATTTACAATTACTAAGTAAGCAAACATGCATCAACTACAACTGCACTTCAGGTCGGTCAATAGGTCTCAATGTGTATAATTGCTGAATAGGTTAACATGTAACTTATATATTTATTTTTGTTTTCAGGATACTTGCTCTCAAAATGCAGGCACAAATGGAACACCAATGTGGTCGAGGAGACGGCCAATCTCATCCCAACTAAATGAGAGATCTGAGGCAGTGAACAATTTGTGTGGCAGTTATAAAAGTGTAAATAAAAAAAGGAGGATGTAGAAAATTTGAAATACATGATTTTAAAGATAGAGTTTGAAAATAATGAAGCAATAAATAAAATGCAAATTGAACCTCTAGCCAAGGACCTTCAAATAAAAGATTTGGAGATAGAAATTAAACAAGCTGTTTTGGAGCAAGTTAAAGGTAAAAATTTATTTCAGTGTAAGTACTTTAAAAATGATTTATTTTATATTTTAAATCATGGTTTCAAAATAATTGGTAACTTGGTTTCTTTGGAAACCATAGACTGGGTCACTGTTTATCACTGGTGGTCTTGGTATTTGCCCTGTGTGAATTAATTGCTCCAAATTAGCAATAGATCCATCGTTTACAGGCTCTGGTTTACTTCTCATAATGCAAATATTATGTAAAATACAGCAGGCTAATATAACATCAATTGCATTATGTAATTTTAGCCTCAAACCCAAAGCGAGTGCAGGAAATCGTCGTTTTAGAACACCATATTGCCGTTCCACTGTATTTCCACACCACAACCACCAATTCAACAGCCATGTCTTCTAGAATACAAGGTTGAGTACTTTCAACTGGGATTCTGCAGCTGTATGTTTCAGCTCCTGAGATAAATAAATGTTTCAAAATATAAAATTTAAATTGCCAATCCTAGTAAACTTTATATATATTAAAAAAAAATCTAAACAACAGTTTTTTTTATATATTCATTTAGTATACAGCAACACACATGTGTTTAAGATATCAGACATTATACAGATAATGTTAAAAATATATTACAGCCAGACACAGAACAAACACGAGTTCATCACAGATATGTTTGTCCTGGATGGGAATCTTACCCAAAACCTCTGGCCATCATGCCGTCGGGACTGTTTAATGGATAATTAGTAAAAATGAAATGGAATAAAATGTACTTATTGATTTCTTAGTATGGTGTTGATGAATCAAAGTCATTAGTTAGTGAGCAATGTAAGACTTTAAATTTTATGACATATACCTATTAACGTAATTTTACTAGTTTCGTATTATAGACTTTTTTATTTACTTAATTGATATCAATTATATTACCTCATTACAGAATTTCGCAAATCTTAATGACTTCGTCATAGGTTACTCACGCCCTTTCTCGTCGAAAATGGCGCTAGAATGCATCTTAAGCATAAGGTGCGATTTGCCCACTTCATTTACGTTCAGGCACTCGAGTGGCATTCATGCAGAAGTGTTCCGTAGACGAGTGTGAAAATAATATACTTTCGGTATTAATAAGACCCATGATGACATCATCATATTTTCAGTAAGTGATTACTTAATATACATTCATAGTGCAATATCAATGTCAAAATAATAGTAATAGCGAGTGTTTATATTGGTACCAATTCTGTTATAAACAAATCTGTGGTTGTCTTTGGGCAAAAAGTTCCTCCTCCCGTCTTGTTTCATTTGCTAATCTATTAATTATCTCATTGTCACCTATACCGAAATCACTTGGGATCAACAAAACACTTATACGAGGGTCAAACTGAAAGTTCTTAGAACTGGCCACTTATAAACAATATAATAATAAAATAATTCTAAAATTTGAAAATATAACTCTTTGCCAATATTACTGAGTATATATTTCATTCATTTGTCATTTGTTTTACGATTTGGCGGCAAATTGAAAATTGTCTGTGTCACGTCATCATGAATTTAACACGAGAAAATTTTCGTGCAATGATTTTTTATGACTTTCGATGTCATTTAAGTCAACAAGAAAGTTATGATAGACTACGATTGGCCTTTCACGATGAAGCCCCATCTCGTGCGACTGTTTACAACTGGTTTAATGAGTTTAAACGTGGTCGCACTAATCTCACTGATGATTTACGTGAGGGACGGCCTTCTACGGCGACGACTGAAGATAACATCTGTGTTGTGCGGCGTATGATAGAGACTGACAAAAGAGTGACCTATCAACAGATTCGGACAAGCTTAGGCATCGGTATGAGTCAAGTGCACAAAATCCTCCACGAACATTTAGCGGTCAGGAAGCTTTGCGCCCGGTGGATACCTCATAATTTGACTGAGGCTCAAAAACTCCATCGTGTGGATTGGTGTCGTAAAATGATTGAAAGATTTAACGGAGGTGACTCAAATGCTGTGTTCGACATACTAACAGGTGACGAAAGCTGGATTTACTGTTATGATCCTAAAACCAAAAGACAATCTGCTCAGTGGGTGTTTCCTTTCGAGGAGTTGCCAACTAAAGTGAAGAGAGATCGAAGTGCGGGAAAAAAAATGGTGGCCTCGTTCTTTGGAAGGATAGGTCATTTTGCAACAATTGTGTTAGAGGATCAAAAAACAGTTTCTGCAGAATGGTACACTACCAATTGTTTGCCACTTGTCTTGGAAAAAGTTCGAGAGAAACGACCTCGCAGTAGGATCCTCCTTCACCACGACAACGCCTCGTCGCACACCGCCAAGCGAACGATCGACTATTTGGCGACATCAAACGTTGAATTACTGGGTCACCCGCCGTATAGCCCCGACCTCGCGCCTTGTGATTTTTATTTCTTTCCAAAAATTAAAGAAAAACTTAAAGGAAAGCGGTTTATGAATGCTGAAGAAGCGATGGCTGCGTATCGCGATGCCATTGAAGAGACCCCTAAGGACGAGTGGGCAAAGTGCTTTTCCCAGTGGTTCCATCGCATGCAGCGGTGTATTGACGTGAATGGACAATATTTTGAAAAGATATAATAAAACTAATAACTGGCTAATGTAATCAGTTTTTGATTTTCTAAGAACTTTCAGTTTGACCCTCGTAAAGTATTTTTTTTATTTCAGAAATAACACGATAATATGTTTTCATTCGAAAGGAAAATATACCAATAGCCTGACGAGTGCTCATTGAGTCACAGAATACAATTGTTTTCTTAAGCTTGATAATAATATCACATTCCAGGGCCTTTAAAAGTCCATAACATTCACCTGTGCCTATATTGCCAGATTTATTGTTTTTTGATTCAAGATAAAAATATGATGATAATCAAAAAATTCACAGTTTATGGTACGAGGGTCAAACTGAAAGTTCTTAGAACTGGCCACTTATAAACAATATAATAAAAAAATAATTCTAAAATTTGAAAATATAACTCTTTGCCAATATTACTGAGTATATATTTCATTCATTTGTCATTTGTTTTACGATTTGGCGGCAAATTGAAAATTGTCTGTGTCACGTCATCATGAATTTAACACGAGAAAATTTTCGTGCAATGATTTTTTATGACTTTCGATGTCATTTAAGTCAACAAGAAAGTTATGATAGACTACGATTGGCCTTTCACGATGAAGCCCCATCTCGTGCGACTGTTTACAACTGGTTTAATGAGTTTAAACGTGGTCGCACTAATCTCACTGATGATTTACGTGAGGGACGGCCTTCTACGGAGACGACTGAAGATAACATCTGTGTTGTGCGGCGTATGATAGAGACTGACAAAAGAGTGACCTATCAACAGATTCGGACAAGCTTAGGCATCGGTATGAGTCAAGTGCACAAAATCCTCCACGAACATTTAGCGGTCAGGAAGCTTTGCGCCCGGTGGATACCTCATAATTTGACTGAGGCTCAAAAACTCCATCGTGTGGATTGGTGTCGTAAAATGATTGAAAGATTTAACGGAAGTGACTCAAATGCTGTGTTCGACATACTAACAGGTGACGAAAGCTGGATTTACTGTTATGATCCTAAAACCAAAAGACAATCTGCTCAGTGGGTGTTTCCTTTCGAGGAGTTGCCAACTAAAGTGAAGAGAGATCGAAGTGCGGGAAAAAAAATGGTGGCCTCGTTCTTTGGAAGGATAGGTCATTTTGCAACAATTGTGTTAGAGGATCAAAAAACAGTTTCTGCAGAATGGTACACTACCAATTGTTTGCCACTTGTCTTGGAAAAAGTTCGAGAGAAACGACCTCGCAGTAGGATCCTCCTTCACCACGACAACGCCTCGTCGCACACCGCCAAGCGAACGATCGACTATTTGGCGACATCAAACGTTGAATTACTGGGTCACCCGCCGTATAGCCCCGACCTCGCGCCTTGTGATTTTTATTTATTTCCAAAAATTAAGGAAAAACTTAAAGGAAAGCGGTTTATGAATGCTGAAGAAGCGGTGGCTGCGTATCGCGATGCCATTGAAGAGACCCCTAAGGACGAGTGGGCAAAGTGCTTTTCCCAGTGGTTCCATCGCATGCAGCGGTGTATTGACGTGAATGGACAATATTTTGAAAAGATATAATAAAACTAATAACTGGCTAATGTAATCAGTTTTTGATTTTCTAAGAACTTTCAGTTTGACCCTCGTATATTTAAAATAAAAGTTGACTGTAGGATCTTTATTTACTCTATCAGTCCCGGTGGTTAGTGACAGTACAACGCATTTAAAGCTTTCAAACGAATCTTTACGCTACTTATGCCCGGTTTCTGAGGTACTTTTAACGGTAGTTTATCGATTCGATGGCGCTATTGGTTCAATAACTCTTAGAATTACGTTTCTGAACAATGCCACGTCAGTTAAACTCAACTGACCATTTAATAAGGTTAACTTAACTGACCACTTGTGCCGTTTATCGGTTCCATAACTTTAGTTGACGTTTTGAACATGATAATTTCATGCAATTTTTAAGTTGTTATTATTACGTGGTGAATTTTAACGATGCGTTATAGCTAAATTT